CGATCAGGGGCATCTTCAGTTAATTGGTGTACCATTTTAATTTTGTATGAATGATACCTATTCCTCTTCAAAAGTATCCACACAGTAGAAGGAGACACCTCACAAACATTCGCGACGGAATAAGTAGATTGAAAACGTTTATTGAAAACCCTTTCGGTCTCGTGAAAGTTACTCGTCGCACTATAAATAAAAATCGCTTAAATTTTTCCTTCCAAAGAACGAGAATTGACCGTTTCAGAGATTGTTGACGTGGTACCTCTCTACAAATAAAACCGAAAACTAAATGAGAATATTCTAACTAATCAATGATGTTCATTGTCGTACTGATATTTTTTGACGTTTTTATAAAAAAAAAATAACTTAACAAACCTTATCAGGTTGTTAGAAATTGGCATTTGGAAGATAAAAAGGAATATTTCTATAAATATCGATATTAATGTGTTTGTCTTCAGGAAATTATTAAATTTTCCGCCATTTTGTAGTAGGTGAAGATATTGACTTCATGTTCTAGGGTTGTAAAATATTCGTCAGGAGCAAAATGATGTGTCACAAGACCCCCTTTCCATTTATTTTTTTTTCCCAGTCGGCGCCCAGTCGCCATCTTGAAAGTTTCATCTGTCAATTTCACTTCAAAATAAAGTATTCATGCATTAATTTCATTATACCAAATTTAAATCTTTTGATTTGACCCGTTCAAAAAATAAAGGGGGGCATTAAAGAAATGCACTGTATCAAAATGAAAGGGGTATATTTTTAGGAGAGATCAATTTTTGAGAAACAAACGTTTTGGCTTTCTTCTTCTTCATATTTATTCAAAACAAATGTGAGAATCTTTGAAAGAAACGAAAAAGCTATTTTTATTTGTTTTTATTTGTTTCCAATAGCCATAAAACTAATAAAGATAAAACTGACAGCCATGAAATAAACATCTAGGTGTCATTAAACATGAATCATACGGATCTCTAGAGGCCTAGTTATCAGTCTCACAATTTCAATCACTGACACTAGATTCCATCTAGTGTCAGTGATTGAAATATAATTGTGACTCAATTTTGAAACTTTGCATAAATGCTTCTATAGAAATTCACAGGTTTTAATTGATATTATGATTTTATCAGTGACTAGGCCCTAACCTGAAATGAAAAGAGGAGTTACTAGACTTCACTGATCCACATAATCTCAGCCTGTTGAGAAAAAAACGTAATATGGCATGTACCAAAGCATTTTCCTACAAATATATTTTATGTTGCCACCTTGTATTATTTTGGAAGCCTTCTCAATCCAGCAATAATTCAATTCACACGCCTCTGTAGTAATCAATTATTTAATTACAGTAAAATGTTCCCGACTGCGAAAATGAAATTCTAAACGATCTGCCCACTTGACTTCATAAAAGGTGTGGAGGCATTGTTTCACAATGGCCGAATATCTCCCGACAGAATGTTTGTTTTGTTTAAATAAAGCATATAATGATGCTAATTCGATTTTATTTCATCAATAATATTTGGTTTACCGCATGTTTTCAAGCGGCAATTCTTTGATCCGAAGATGTTTGCTTTCAATTAAGAAAACCAAAAAATGAATTATAATATATTTGTCATGGAAATGAAAACAAAGATTTTCAATAGTCTTTGCAAGTCGATGGTAGGTACCTTGTCACAGATGTCAAGTAGGTAAACATTTACTTTCGAGGAAAATATCCAACTTCTTATGTTCGCTATGTTCACACGAAATAAAAACAACTCTAGTGAGTTGATCGACAACGTAAAAAAACGAATATTTAAAACGAGTCGTTATACAATAATGTCTTCCTAGTAAGTATAAGCAACATCGAAATCAATATACACTTTTAGACGTTTCGACGATTACCTCATTTTCTTCAATGCTCTACTGTAATGGAGAGTAAAGATGTCAGCTAAATGACAGGTACTATCGACAGAACAGATTGCAGATCAAGGAATACCATTAGTTGTTGTTTTTTTAATGTGATGTTGTGATTGTGTTACGCCTGTACTATTTTTGTTTTTGTACCTGAAAAAATTTGACTTACTTGACTGGTACACATATAAAAAAAGGTATCCAGCAAGATTTCTGGACGAAGCAACACAAATTGAAGTACTCGGACAGTTTGTAATGAATCATACTTTATCGACTCGTCAGGCAGCTACAGCAACAGGATTATCTCGCTAATCTGTTAGGAAAGTACTTAAATGACATACATTTCATTCATATAAAATGCACATCCTTCAGGAACTTTGTGACGATGACCCCGACAGAAGCATTGAATTTTGTGAAATTATGACAGCTAGGATAATCGCAGACCTCGGCACTAAAAAAATATTTGCTTTAGTAACGAATGCAATTTTTATTCTGATAGGCATGCAGATAAACAAAACTGTGGTTACTGGAGTGACGAGAACCCACGACTGTTTAGAGAATAGCATATGCAATACTCTGAAAAAGCTAATGTTTGGGCTGGTATATTGGGAGATCCAATTATCGGTCCATTATTTATAGAAGGAAATTCAAATGGCAAAATGTAGCCTAGAGAATCAGAGAGACATACACGACAATTCATCTTCAAAAGAAAATTTGTCTCATTTTCAACAGGATGATGCACCTTCCAGTTATACAATGGTTACATAATAATTATGCTAATCAATGGATTGGAAGAAGAGGTCCTAATAAATGGCCTCCTAGATCCCCGGACCTATTTCCTCTTGATCTCTTCTTCTGAAGCCACCCAAAATCTGTTGTTTATGAATCGCAGCCTGACTCAAAGAGCAACTGAAGGAAAAAATAGTCAAGAATGCCAAGCTATTTTCAAAGAAACATTTGCCAATGTACGTCAATAGTTTGAGAATAGATGCTATTATTGTCTTGAAAAGAATAGAAATCATTTTAAACATTTCTCAAATTGATAATAGAAAATGAAATTTTAATCTAAATAAAAAGTGTTTTATTTGATAAATCAAAAACTACTATATCGAATGTAGCTTTGTAGGGTACCATTGAAGTGCATTCATTCCTTAAGAGCTTTCAAATAAGGTATCACAAGTAGAGGGATGCCATTTGAAAATATAAAGTTGGGGTGGCTGGTGGCGAGGAGGTAAGTGAAAACAAGTTAGCTATTACATCATTTTGTTTCCCCCTCCTATTATGAAAGTTGTTTTCAGCGATTTCTTATATTTTATTTGGTTGCTCAGATATAGCCATTGTAAGTTTTCAAATGATCACCCTGTATATAATTTGAACTATTAGAGATATGGGAGTGAGTAATAGATAATTTAGTGGATATTTCATCATTGAACAAAGTTGTTATGAAGGATCATTACCGTATTCGCATTACTTAACAAGTTATGAGTCATGAAAATACGAAAATGGCAAAAATCTTTGATCTTCATAAAAAAATTGCTATAACGGCTGATCAAGAATAGATATAAATTCGGTTCTCGATTCATTTGAAAGATTATTTGAACTTTCATAAAAATGACCTGAAATCCCATCAACGGATCTCAAATAAGTTCATAACTTACCAGAAAAAGTTACTGCGTATTATAAAACACTGACGAATCCATTTAGTCATATAGTAACTTGTTTCGGGAAACAATCTTTTCCGTTTCGTTTTTAAACTTTCGCCTCAAATTCTTGATAGCTCCAATTCTTTTTGACTTACGTCAAAAGAAGGAAATGTCATACGCGATAGTCTACATGAATATAATATATTCTGAATGTTTTTAGAGACTTCATTTGAGGTTCATATTTCCATTTTCAACCTCAGTAATGTGGCAAGGATGAGCCCATTGCCATTGGTACATAATTTCAGAAGTTCCATAATTGCTCCTACATTCAGTTTTGTTCTATTTTTTAGAATAATATCATCTTCATATGTAGTTTTTACAATTCTTAGGGTTTTATCAACCGGAACATTAGTGAACAAACTCAAAACATCGAAACTCACCAGGAGATCTTCTTTTTTTTAATAATATTTCATTCATGTTTGGATTATTGCTAATAGGACAGGTGGAGACTTTCCTAGAATCAAAGTTGAATCAGAGCATTACTTCATATTTTTACTGGGAAAACACTATTGACTATTTTTGAAATAGTTTCTCAATTCGGAAGAACATGTCAAGGCAGTTTGGATCTGTTTAGAATAGTCAGTTTCATTATATAATTCACTGCTTTGATCTATATGGGACAAAAACCTGATATTAAAGTTACACATAGACAAAAGTCAAATATTTGTGTCTTACTGCATCAGAAAATGGAATGTAACTTCAAGTACTACAGGAAAATATTTTAGAATTTTTGAGAATAACAAATAAAATTCAGTTTGACAATATTCCTTAACACTAGTAGAATTGTTGGACACAAAGTAATATCATTTGTAAGTCTTTGATATATAATAAAAAAAGGGTTGGAAATTTTTCGAGTTAATCATGCTTACCAAGCACAATGAACAGAGAGAAGAACTTTATGTCAAAAACGAGCGGATCCCTTTAATTTAATCAAATTATGGTAATTTTAAATTACAAATAATGAGTGTCGATAGTTTTTGAGTTATTGATAAAAAACTAAATCCGTATTTTTTTCATCTCAATTTATTAATAACAGCTGCAATTTTTGTGTGTTTTGAAATGATTATAATACATCTTTCTTCACATAATCAGAAATCCAAGTGGCTATCGATCATATTTTTGAGTCTTTCAAGATTTTTGAACACGAAATGCAACTCTCTTTTCTCTCATAGAGAAAAATCAAGAGTTTCTTTAAATTTTATTTTTGGTACAATTTCGAAACAACTTTCGAATACACCCTGTATACCACCATTTCTGTGAATATCAGGCTTATCGATTAAACAATAGACATGACTTCCTTAGCGTTTCCTTTTTAGTACATCATTGTTTTATGTATGATTTTTAAGCAGGATGTCATTCCATTTTAATAATATTAATAACGCTACTGAAAGTGCGTTGAACTTATTTTCATTGTTGCAGATCCTTTCCTTCGATATGTAAGGCAGACAATAGGTGAGTAAGAAGGGACTTTTCCATATTTGATGTGAGCTACAAGTGCGTTTCAATTCAGCTTTGGCCACTATTTCCCAACTAACTACCACAGAATTTAGATTTTGCTGGCAGAAACTTCAGACGAAAAACGATCTAAGCGTCTAAATGTTTTAATAGTGTACCGTTTTGGACTAGGCCGGAACTACGTATACGACTTGTTGACTCAGGTCAACACTAGAATTCGCTTTAATTATACTTTGTCACTAATAGAATCAAAATCTTATAGAATTTGTTTATACAATTTTTGGGATGATCATTCTCGGAAAATGATGTTCAATCATCTTCAAACCTGCTTTTCGGTAGCCAGGTGTAGCCTCCTTACGAACGACAACCCTTGGAAGTTGAGACTTGTGTGAACTGAAGATTACCCAGGTCTTACCTTTTAACGTGCAATTCCTGGTACGTTGAATGTTCCCAACAAAGATTCTAAAATGATCCTCTGCCTTTTTCCCAAGATATTACATACTTGGTGTTTTGAGAAATATGAGGAGAAATGTTTTTTTTATTCCAGTTCTAGATCTATGTGCTACAAGTTGTTAGCTTCTTCCATTTTAACTGGTAGGGCCCAAATAATTTTATTTTAAGTTTAACTGCTAGGAAAGAACTTTTTGGAATAATCTACGTGAAGTTTGTGAGTAGAACAAGTTATTATCTAAACGCCATTGTACCTTCAATATTTTGAGTGTCCCTATTTTTTTTTTCTTTATTAGCAATAATGGAGTTGAATCCATAGATGTAGTATTCATAGCGAAATCTTTTGTCAACTTTTTCATTCGAATTCATTTCTAAGATCTTAATAGCGAAAATGTTTCCTCTTGAGTTTTGGATTTATTAATTGAATTTACAGGGTGTCAATTTGAAAACAAACTACCCGCTATATTTCGGTCTCTGTAAAAAATTTAAAAATATGGAAAAATAAGTCAACTTTGTTTTAAAAGGGACATTTTGAAGGCTAGGCTAAACTCTTAAATGGAAATGGAAGTAATTTTGAAGGTCGTTCAACTATGATTTTCAAAATGACCACATACTTGACCTTTTTTTATACTTTTGGTGAAATCAAGTAAAGATATTCAAGTATCAAGTGTTTTGAAATGAAACTTGAAAAAATAAATAATGAATTTCTTATTTAGTTAAATGTTCGAAATGTCCATTATTTTGTCGACAGTTATAAAGTTAGCTCTCTAACATTCCAAAAAACTTCTTCCTGAAGTTTTCTACATTCTGCTGTTATTCTTCCCTTCAAATTTACCCGACTTCGAAGTTACATTTTCTGAACAATCGATTTTAGATGCCCGCATAGGTAGAAGTCTGGAGGCGATAAGTCGGGTGATCGTGGTGTTCATTATATTGCTCCTCTTCGATCAAATCATCTCCCAAGAACTATGTCATTTAGCTACTGTCTAACTGCAAGAATCTGCATCTTGTTGAAAAAGAATAGGATAGTCTTGCATAGTTATTTTCCAAACTAGTTACTATTTTTTCAATATCATTTGAGGAGAGCTCACCAGCTGGATTTTCCTCAATGAATATGGGTTCAATAAAAAAAATCCCAAGAATACCAGCCCAAACGTTCATCTATGACCTTTCCTAAAATATCGCAGATTTTCATCGATCCAGTAGCGACTATTTTGTTTATTAACATGCCATTAAGAAAAAAACATACACGTACTATCATCAGTAAAGCAATTGTTGTGCAAACTATTTCAGTTCTCATTTATTAGACCCGGCATTGTTTGGCAAAACTCAATTCTTTTGTCGAAGTCGTCATCATCAAGCTGTTGAAACACTTTAATTTTATACGGGTGAAATGTATTAAATTGCTTTCCTTAGGCGCGATTCCCACTGGAACGATTCGGTAAGCGATGCAACAGGTGATTTGATAAGCCATCCGATCCTAATTTGACACCGATCACTCATAATTGTCCATACATAATGGAAGCAACTAATCTAGTGCACTCTGGAGCGATCGCGATGCTACACCAATAATTATCGGAGTCGCGTCGGTGAGGGGGGCACAGCTGCCTGGTCGCTTGAGCGAAAGAAAGGCGCAATATCGTTCAACACGTTGGGTCACCAAGAAGAGATGCAATACTCTATTTCCCTCGTGAAATTGGTGGAGCAGAACCCGTGTTTCTCCAGTCCCCTTGACACCAATCTCAATAAAACATGGTAACTATTTGACCTCATTCTATAAAACTCTCTATATTTATGTTCATGTTGAGAGAAGTCGCGGGAAACCATTGCCAAACTGTATTTTTTATTACATATATTGATGAAGCGATGAATTCACAATCCAAGGGTATATCACATTTGATATTTTTATAGCGTTTCATTTGAAATAACTACCATCATCAGTGATAACAATTTTAAATTACAGTCCTATCGTTACTTCTTTCGTATTCAAATTTACCCAATTTCGACGTTATATTTCCTGAACAATCGATTTAAGATGTCCCCATAGGTAGAAGTCTGGAGGCGATAAGTCGGGTGATCGTGGTGTTCATTATATTGCTCCTCTTCGTTCAAATCATCTCCCAAGAATTATGTCATTTAGCCACTGTCCAACTGCAAGAAAGTAGTGTGGTGGATTTCCATCTTGTTTCGATTTCTTCAAAATATAATTCAGACAACCCAATAAATTCGACAGATAGGTACCCTAACACAATGAAAATTCGTACTTTTTCGTTTTGGAATTTTTTTGTATTTCCGTAATCTTTCCAGTCTTATTTTTCCATAATCAATTATGATTTTCAATATTTTTATAATTCTCAATCCTGGAAGAAACGAAAATATCAGTTTTTGGTAAAAATTCGTTGTTGTTCAATTTGATATGATCAAATAGCATCTCAATTCATTAACCATCTTAAACGCGTAGGCTTTGCTTGGTTTCTATGGCAGGAATAATGAATGCGTTGTTGATAACTGTTGAAAACTGTCAGACGTTTATGAACATATCAAAGATGTATTCAAATGATGAAAGAAAGGATGCTATTTAGTTATGCGAAATCAAATAGAAATTTTCTTTTGATAAGGAATATGTATGTTGAGCTATACCCGAATCGTCGTATTCCGAACATCCAAATGTTTAGACGATTAAAAAGAAGTTTGAGGAACTTGACAGAAAGAAAACAAGAAAATGTGTGATTACTTGAAATGTAAGGAATCAACTAAATGTTATGGGTAAGCAAATATTACCACATAAAAATTTACACAGTGAAAACAGGATCGGCCAGTTACAAAAATTATGCTAATTAAGATTGTTCTTTACAAGAAATTACCCACGAAATGGTGATTTCTGTAAAACCAGAACTATTTTGAACACGAACAAATATCAATGCTACAGGATACGCAATTTCATCACCTCCGGAAGGAGAGTACGATTTGCGAAGTGGTTAAGACGTAGAAATAGGGAAGTTGGAAATATTTTTAAGAAAATAATATGGATGGACGAATCAAAATTCACCATCAATGGTTGGCTTAACAGAAATATCCATTATAGGTGGAATAATACAAATGAACATTCACATAGGAAAACCAATTTTCAAGAAGGGGTCGGAATAAATGTTTTGTTGGGAATTGTGGGAACAAACATTCTTGGCCCTTTCTTTAAAGATGATCATTTGAATTAAATTAATTTGATGGCTACTAACATGAATATCCGCCATGAAATATAATATTTTCAACAGGATGGCGCTTCTCCCCATAATGCATCAATAGTAAGGAAACATTTAGATGCAATATTCCCTAGAAAATTGATTGGAAACAATGGACCAATTAACTGGCCAGCTCGATTCCCAGACTTTACTCCTTAAGATTTTTTTTGTCTGGGGATACATAAAGGATAAAGTTATTTCAACACCAAGTACAGATATCGACCATCTCAAACAAAAAATGAGAGCTGCATGTATTAGTATTACACCTATCATGATAGAAAATTGCCACAGCAATTGTCTGGACCTACAACTTATGTGCATTCAACAAAGAGGTCGTCAGTTCGAGCATTTAATGGTGATTGCCATGTAACCTTGATTATACGTATTGGTTTCATTTTTCCCAGAAGTTCACGATAAAATAATTTGTTTTTCTGTTTGATTGTTGTTGATGATGGTGGATATTTCAAATGAAACGCTTTAAAAATATCAAATGTGATATA